GCACTTAACTTCTTATTTATATATTTATTTAACTATATATAATTCATCAAAAATTCTGAGGAGACGGTACTGATGCATATACCACTGATAAATTGATGCTCATGCATACATATGGGTGCAGCTCTCCTGGAAACATTTGAGTGCACGAGGAACCCAATCAAAAATTCCATTTGAGTTCCCCGAGATTGCTCCCAGAGGAGAAGCCGCAGAGTTTGGGCTGGAAAACAAGTTACTTCTTCCGGCCTGGAAATGAAGTTGGTTCGGTACCTGACTCGTTCGGGAAGTGAATTCATCAACTCGTGCTTTTCTTTTAATGGAACAATCTGTATTACAAAGTTGCAAGCTTAAAAAACTCAAATAAAGAAAAATTTAGAATTGGCCTCAGAATTGGCCTCAGAATTGGTTTGCTGGTCCAAAAATGAAAATCCCCATCCAACGCCCGACTGATTAATTTTTCAATCTGTCTTTCTCCCGTTCGATTGACGGAATTGACCTCACCTTTCTCCCCGACAAAAGGCAGCGACCACGTGAAGACATCCATGAAATTTGGCAACCAGTACGGGTGCGGAGAGCAGTTGAACTGGCGAATGTTCATCACATTATTCTCGTATTTCAATACTGCCGCCTGCAGGGAAAAGAAGCGAGGTTCGGAAAAAAAAAACCACTGCGGAAACCGCGCGATCGGACGGGAGGAACCGCGCGATCGGACGGAACCGCCGGACCTTGTTGTTGTAGACATCCAGATAATTTGGAGCGGAGAAGATGGTGATGAGCGACGGGAAGCCTGTGGTCTGGCTCTTCCTGTACATCCGGTACCTGTTGGAAGCAGAAACAGGGGCCGGTCCTCAACGAAACTTCGATGTTTGATTATCAAACATTTTCATGACTGAGCAAAATCTGGGCTTAAGATTGGGTTTCACCCATTTTAATAAATGGATGGATAATATGGACGCAATGGATGGATAACTGCATGCACGTTCCAGACAAACCGATGAGAAAAAAAAAAATCAATGATGAAATGTACGGTACAGTTGTAGGTCTGACACTACAACAGTTCTATTTGCGAGTGTTCATCGATTGCGTCAAGAAATAATTCACAGAGCCGGTTCTTTCCCCACATTGGCCGTCACAAAAACTTCCTGGAGACAATCAGAACTTCCACGAGGAAAGTTGGCAGAGACAAGAATCCAGGACAGAAAATGGTACGACAAAATATGTCCCCTGTCACAAAGATGTCCCCTGTCACAAAGATGTCCCCTGTCACAAAGATGTCCCCTGTCACAAAGATGTCCCCTGTCACGAAGATGTCCCCTGTCACAGCCCCAGTTTTCCAGGGTCTGTCTTGGTTTCGAAAAATGCCCGTCATTTGTCCCTTAAATTCAGCAAAAAAAAGAGTCCGTTTTCAAGCCAAGCAGCTTCACAAAGACACACTCTTTCTGCCAACCACGACAAAGGAAAACCCCGAGTTCCCACGCTCGTCAGGGCTTTGCAACTCGCGAGAAGTTTGCCCCACAAAATAGTGAGAGCATTTACTTATTTCTGGCCATTTATTTTAAATGGCCAGAAATCCCTGAAACAATTTTTTTTTTTAAGTTTGGAAGATTCTGCTAATTTCAGAGCCCAAAAAATCTGCCAGAATTGACCAGGACCAGGTTGCCAGCGAAATTCCCTCTGAGAGTGCAATCGCTTCAACTCGCTCAAATCGAACTGCCAAGTTGAGAAAAACCTTTTTCCATTCATTAACCATGAGAGAGAGAAAAAAAAAAACTTTTTTTTTTTCAATCAAATCCAGATTTATTCTTTTTCCTTTCTGTCAAGGAACCTCGTGCAGACTCATTATAAAGTTTCAATTGAAATCCAACACGATCAAAGGTCATGCTGCTGGGGATGGGCTTTAATTCGTCTCGGTTGCAACCAACTCAGATAAATCTTGAAAAGTACCAAAAATATATATATAAAAGTCTGAGTGAGGGAAATGCAGGAAAATCTAGCGAAAATGCCGCTCAAGTCCCTCAGGAATCTCAATCCAGCTCCATGGATAAGGAGCACTCAGAAGGCTTTCAGGATCCCTATGAGTGCACTAAGTGCTGGAAAATCTCATTACGCTCATTCTCTCTTGCACAAGGCATAAACTTTTTTTTTTTTATATTGTAACGAAATGTTCGATCATAACGGAGACAACAGCAAAGCTTCACGATCCTCACTACGCCATTCGAGCTCCC